TGGCTTGGTGTGTTTTAGGCGTTTGGCAGATTTGTGTCTGTGCTAATGTTTCTCTCGCTTTCCCGAGTGCGTGTCCATAGTCTGAGGGGCTGGGAGGAATGTGGCTCCCTTAGGGCGGGGCCAGAACTCCTTGGGTACAAGACACCTGGTCGCCGACAGACTGTGGTTTTAGTTGCTAGTCCAGGCTTGGCGCAGGTCATCAAAGCAGCGCAGCCAGGCAAGTGAGGGGTGTGCTGGGCTGCGCTGACACGAGGACAGGAAGCAGCATGTGTCTGTCTGCTCTGTGCTGTCGCCACACTTGGAGATGTGCTGCTCCTTCTGGACACAGCACCTAGAGGGACGGAGACAGCCTGGATGGATCGTGGCTTATCAGGGCAGTGAGCGCCGACCTCGGGGCCGGAGGAGATGGCATCCGAGTCTGTGGTTCTAAGTGTCACGTGGACGCAGAGCCGCCATTCGCTGCGTGGCCTCGGAGTTATAAAAGAACCAATGAGTGAAATTCGTCAGCACAGTATGGGAAAGAGTTTTTGTAGTGTTGCATCAAAGCTCACCCAGAAACAGCAAATCCTCCTCGTTAGAGGAATTTAACATCTGAGCACAGCCTGGAAGAAACTTAACCATCTACGTGGCTACATGTGTTCATAAAACGGTTTAAATGTTGGACGTATCGGTCCCTCCCTTCTGCGCAGGGACAGTGGGTTTGTATGATGGACGGTGACACCTCACACGTGTATAAAGGTAATGGCTAATAAGCGAAAGGACCGAATTTCCAGAATCCTCCACATTGCCTGAAAGATTAGCCCTGGCACCATTAGAAGGTATTTTTCCTGGTACTTACTACCGAGTGATAACCATTTGCACGGAAACAAATTTGTTGAATATGAATCAAAAAAGCTCAAAATGGGACTCTCAGTGCTCCGTGGGGCTTTTCCAAATGCCAGGTGTTTCTTGTGACCTCACACCACGGCCCAGGCAACGCCACTCAGGCCGTGCTCTCTAGGGTGGCCCAGCCGCCTGCCCGGCTCCGTGTTGGCATCAAACCCTCTTCACTGCAGGAACTGAGGGGAAATCTCCGGGTGCACTGTCGGATCCGCCCTTTGTTGCCTCTGGATAATGAATCTGGTGACACGGTTTTACAGAACAGGTAACTACTTTTGCTGTGTGTGTGTGTGTGTGTGTGTGTGTGTGTGTGTGTGTGTGAGAGAGAGAGAGAGAGAGAGTGTGGTTTAAACACACGCATGGCAGCGTCGCTGCCACTTAGGGTTGGCCTCTCGGCGCTCGGCCTCTGGAGCATCCATCCCACGGGCCACGTGCTCGTGGCCCTTCCCTTGGTGTCACCATGTCAGAGGGGGCACTATCTCTATTTTCTGCAGAGGCCCCTCGGAGGTGCAGGGAGGTAGCTAGTGTGGACCCAGCCCACACGTCTGACCCAGAGAAGGCTTTGGTGCTAGTGGATGACGCGAAACTGTCTGCAGTTCGTTTATCCCAACGTTTACTTGAAGACCATGCTCGGGGTGACTCTGACTCCCCTGCCTGTGAAACGATCCCCCACGGAAACCCGCGCCCCATCTGCCGCGTCCACGCCGGCTGCGCTTCCCCGGGTTTCCTGTTTCCCTTGGCTGGTCGTGCCGCGCGCTGGGCGCTGGGCGCGCCCCTGCCTCCCAGCCTCGCTCAGGGCTGTCCTGCCTTGCGCCCTCCGCGGAACCTGTCCCAGCTCCACTCTGCTTTTAGGGCCCTTGGTCAGTCCTGTAGTGTGAAACAATTCGTATTTTTCTTTATACAGTAATCGAAATGTTTTCTTTTCAAATTTAAGACTTTGCTTCTGCCAGCTGCAGCACTCGGTGTTGTATGTCCTTGACTGGCAGCCATTTGTCGTTTGTTGAAGGACCGAGAATAGGCATACTGAGTGCAGCGGCGTGACGAAGGGCCAGCTGAGTGACCCTTATCCAAAATGCCTGGAACCAGAAGGGCCTCAGATTTCAGGTTATATCCGTGCTGGTTCAACATCCCCAACTGGAAAATCTGAAATTCGAGATGCTCCAATGAGCATGGCCTCTGAGTGTCACATGGCCGCAGAAAGTTTCGAAGTTTGGATTTCTGGATTAGGGATACCCAGCCTATAGAGAGAAATCCTAAAATGTGATGAGCTTTCCAAACTTGCTTTTTAAATGGTCTTACAGATAGCCTTGTCTCATTATCAGTCTACTTCTGAGCGGCCCGATGGGATGGCCAACTGCCACCAGAGGCTTGTAAATCTGAATGAACGCAAATTAAATAAAATCAGAAACTCAGTCCCTCAGTTGCACCGGCCTCAGTTCAGTGCCGTTGGGCAGTTGAGGACGGAGTGTTTCCACCAGGCAGGGCCGGGGACGGTGCCGCCCGGCTGTCCAGATCCCCAGCGCTGCAAGGAGGCTTCATGCACCTTGGCTTCCTCTTACGTTGTTCACACCCATCACTTTTTGTTTGGAAACGTTGCCGGTTTTGAATCCATGGTTGCTCACAGATGCCTGAGTCCCCGAGGTGCGGACCTTGTCGCGACTCGTCTTCTGTGTCAGCCCCGCGCTCAGCCAGCGCTGTGCATGTAGGACATACTGGAGTAGGGCTCCCGGGACACGTGGTCCCAATAAGCCTCTGACGGCAGCAGGGAACGTGAAGTGAGGAGCAGGGGCATTAGGGAAAACTCCAGGAGAAAATACAAGGGGCGGGGGAGAGACGAAAGTGAGAAATAAAGAGTAAGGAAAAATAAAAAGGATAAAGGTGGAAGGGCAGTGGGTGGACGTTGGCGAGGACGGAAGGAGAGACGCACCTGTGGGGGTGGGGACAGTGTCCTGGAGCCAGGACGACCCCAAGGTCGGGGACCGGGGACTGGCGGGGGGCGGAGTAAGCAGGGCGGCAGAGGAAACCCAGAGCGTTTAGAGTTCGGTTGCGGGGAATTCGAACAGCAATTTCATCGTCATGTCTATCGTGACGTCTAGTTTAAATGTTGTTTTATTCCCTCAGCGCCGTCTCTGGAGAAGTGGTTCGTGCAGTTGATGACGTGAGTAAAGCTTCCTGACAAACGTTCTGAATTCTCCTCTAAAGAGAAGCTTTCTGTGGATGGTTCAGTGTTCCCCAGACTCCCCACCACCGAGAGCGATTCCGAGATGGAGAGAACACAAAATAACGTCTTTCTCTACTTTAGACTTAATTAACAAGGATTGCTGTTGTTTCTTGAGTTCTGTCGGAAGCTGACATTAATTAAGGCTTCAATGCGCTTTTCTCACGTGAAACCGCCGCGGGTTTGTAGATCTGTGTGAGGAAGTTACTTCACCTTCATTCATTTTCTAGCCCAGGAGATCCTCGGTGCAAATATGGGTAAGTTCTAAAATTTAGAGCATTGAGAAAAGAGGTACAGATACAGAATCAATGATGTTAAGTGTGACCTTTGCAATTCTAGACTTGAAGTAGACGTGATGAAGGGCACGGAGATTACGTTTTTAAAAACCCTTATCAGTTAAAGATGTGGACCGTGGCATGTACAGATAAGGCGGCGTGTTCTCTAGTTTTGACTCTCCGCGGTGACAAGGAAGGGGAGGTGGGCTGTGCAAGAAACCTGTACATCAAGACTGGCCGGAACGCCTGGTGCGGGTGGCCACGCCTGAGGACTCGCTGCCCTCCTTGCTCCAGTCCCGTGCCCGTGAGGAGTCCCACAGACAACGGTTAAGGAAATGTGCTGGGCTCGCGCTTCATTCTAGCTTATATGACAACCACACGGTAAATTTGGAAAACGTGAAATGCTAAACACTTCATGATCATAATTTCGAATGTAGCGTGGAAATCTCAGCTCACACAGGTTACAGTGTTTGGAACATTTTGAATGTTTCTGTGTCGCGTCGGTCACTGTCCGTGTCACTGGCTGTGTCACAGGCCTGTCCCCTGACTCAGTCTTCTTCCGGCCACATTGGTGAGCTTCAGCAGCTCTTTGTAAAGTAGTTCTAGTTAACGGATTGGTGGCCTCACTTTTTTACAGAGAGACCACGGAAATTGTTATAGCTGTATTAAAAAATTCCTTTGATGGAGTTTCAGGAAATAAACACTTTAAAAAGTCCTTGTTTTTAAGTATTTTTTCTTATGCCACTTGATGCATTCGCTGCGTGTTGCCTCGACCACCAGTATCGCCGCGTCGGGCAAAGGAGACAGATGAAACCCGCTGTCAGAGCAGGAGCTTAGGGGAGCCCCGGACCCTCCGCGGCAGGTGAGCCGAGCGCCCGGCTGGCCCTTCCCAGCCTGTCTGTCTGCGCGTCCCGGCCCTGGCGTGGCGGAGACTCATTTTTATTGTCATTGTTGTTCTTTGTCATCGTCATCTTTGTCACTTTATGTGTCCGCTTGGCTGGCAGTCCTCGCTGGTTCCTGCAAAACTCCACTGAATCTTCAGATGTCTAAGGTTTGGGTTTTTCGTATCTTATCCATCAAAATAGGATACGATTTCTTTTGATTGGAACATTTTGAATTACGTTTTTTTAAAATCAGTAGAATCCAAGTTGTTTTTCATTTACCAGACCTGCTTATGAAAGGGCTTCATGCCACTGAATCTGCTGAAAGAGCAAGGGATCAGCTCTGTGACCTTGTCACTCTTGGCTGCTGCACTATGTTTTTATTTCCAAAAGCCTAAAGAGAGTTTGAGCTTGAATTGGACGGGAAACAGCATCTCATTTCAATTTGCAATCTGAGTCAACGTTTAGTAGTTTTGGATTCAGCCTATAAATAAAATCAGCCTCAGATGGAGGAGCTGGCTACTGCCCCACTTCTTGGTGACCGTTTTCCATGTTTTTTTTATTTGCAGTTTTCATTTAGTTTGCATCGACTTGTGCGCTGATCAGAGACGGGAGAACAGGTTCCCGGCTCTCCATCGAGTTCCCGCTGATCTGCCTGCGGTGGCCCAGGCTTCTCCCTCGTTGCTGAGTTTGGCGATCACCGACTTGAATTTCTGAGTGTAGCCAGCAGAGCCTGATGGTCGAATGACACTTATTTAAATGTCTGCCGTTGACCTGAAAAATATTTTTCTAGACTGCGCAACAGGAGCGATGGATTCGGCACACCTGAGGCAAAGTTCTTTGCTCAGAGCCTGTGTGGTCCTTAACAAACTGCTTGTTCCCATGAACGCAGGCTCACCTGGCCTCGGGCGGCCACAGCCAGGAGCGCAGGCACCCGCGACATCCGCGGCCAGCAGTGCGACTTACACAGAGCACCTGGCGCGCAGTCAGTCCCACCGAGCGCTCTGGGTCTGCCTCTTCCCAGAGTCCTCAGCTCTGCTGGCGCAGGGAGCAGCTGTCGTGTGGACTAAAGGCAGACGGCACCTCCAGATGACTTTTCCGGGGTTCGCACCCCCACGCCCTACTCCCTGTCAGACGCCTGGGTGTGGCTCATGCGTTTCTCAAACATGAAACGTCCAAATCGGAATTCTCGATTTTCTCTTTAGACGGCTCTTCCCGTTTTCCCCAACCCAGCGAGTGGCGATCGCACCTGCCTGGTCTCTGACACCTCGGTGGCCCTTCGCCGCCACGCCGCTGGCCCCTGCAGCGAGGACCTTCCCTGGGCCCGTCCCGCTGCTCCGTCTCCCTCCCCGCTTTGGCCCGGGCCCCCATCCCCCGGGACCGCTTTCGTCTTGTTCCTCATGTGGACTCGGGGCAGACCTGGTGGGGTCTTTTCCCGACATGCGTCTGTCACCCGAGCGGACACACCAAGGAGTCACGGGCTCCTAGCTCGTCCCAACAGCGGTCCTGTCCCTGCTGTGACAGACGGTGTCACAGGCGGTGGAAGCCTGAAGACCGAGTTGTGGGCTCAGTGGTGACACGACAGCTTCCCCAGCTTGCTGAAATCTGTTCTTTCCAGCCAGAAAGTTCTGGGTCTGACTATTTTAGGATCAAGATTTAGTTTCACAAATACGAACCAACTTCAAAGAACTGAAAATTGTTCTAATAGCAAGTTTTATGTTTATAGACTTATGGTCAGAGGAAGACTTGGATTTTTTTTCTTTTTTAGGAGTTACGAGGATTTAAGGAAGAAATTATCTTTGGTTTCTCATCATTTGCTTCAAACTAATTCTTTGTATTTTATTTTTTCTTCTACCAATCAGTTATTTCACATCATGAAACCTGGGTAATGGAAAGGATTTGTCCCTCACCCCTCGCTCCGGGAAAGGACATTGCTATTCTTTCAGAAGAGACGTTCGTCACGGCCACGCATCACGTGCAGCGCACTGTATACACATAGTGTGGCTGTTTCTCTGTGAAGCTCATTTGGAAAATGGTCCACTTTTGCATAATGCCTCTAGGAGTATATTGCTGTTATAGTAAAAGTTCCTAATATTTTCTTGTTTCATGAGTTTTCAATTTAGTCTAAATTATAGAACCAGAGACTCGAGGCACCAGGAGCACATGAGAATATTGATTAGTAACACACTCAAAATTAACAATTAGATTCTTCCAGCCGCTTTTTTAAAAGACAGGAAAATGGACACTTGTCCTTGAGTCCTCGTTAGATGAGCAGTGAACAGCGTCACTTCGTGCTGCCGCGTTCAGAGCGTTCACAAGGAAAGTGCACTGCGCGTGTGTGTGCGTGGGTACCTGGAACTCACCGTCCCAGTCACCACCTGCGCGACGCCAGATGCCTCATCCTGGAATCGTCATCAAACATGTATGAAGTGTCACTTGGTACTTGGTGTCAGTTGCCATCCGAGGGGTGTCTATCCTGTAATCTAAGCCGACAACACCGAGAGGAGGTGGATCGGGCGGTGAGGAGGAGGTGCCGCTGCGGCCCCGGGGAGGAGGACGGGCCTGGGCGTGCGGAGGGAATGTTCCGCAGCCTGCAAGGCTCGGCGGCCACTGGCTGTCGGGAAGAGCTAAGGAGAGGTTGAATGAATCAGACATGTCAAACTGGGATGAGCAGAACCGTATTCCCAACGCCAAGAACCAGTGAATGAAACCTACCTCTTGGGGGTGAATTAAGAAATAAAAAGAGCAGCCCCCAGCGGCAGACTCCCCGGTGGAAATCTGGGCAGTCGGTGGCCCGAGGGGAGGCAGAGCACAAGCCACATGGCATCTGCGTTCCCAGGTCGAGCATCCGTCACATGCCTGCAAAACTCCCACAAAGTACGGCGAGCGGGCGCCCTGGGCAGCCGGCCCCTCCCCACTCGGCCAGGACTCATCCCTGCCGCCTCCTCTGTGCTCACGTCACAGCCACAGAGGGACCCGTTTCTGCGCTGCCCCTGGGCTACCGGCTGCCCGAACGCAGGTCTGGCTGGTCCGGCCACCACGGTGTCTGTGGGCAGCCAAGCGCGCGCTGAGCGGGAAGGGGAGGCTGAGTAGGCGCAGATGCGACCTCTCCGGGCCGCCTGCCCCACTGGGAAGACAGCCGTGCGGGCAGATGGCCACGTGGCTTCCCGCGACCTGGAAGACACAGACTCGGATTGATCTCAATTCTGGGTTCATGACACACCTTCATTTAGTGTTTTTTGAATTGTGGTAAAATACACATAACACAAAATTTGCCATCTCGATCACCTTTAAGTGCTCAGTTCGGTGGCATTAAGCGCGTCCACAGCCTGTGCAGCCACCACCACCGTCCGTCTCCGAACTCGCTCATCTTCCCAAACAGAAACTGTACCCGTGCACTGCACGCCCCGCCCGCCCCTGCCCCGGCGCCCGCCCGTCCACTGCGGCTGGGAGGCTGACTCTGCTAGGGACCTCGCGTGAGTGGCACCACGTGGCCGTTGTCCCTGGCTCATTCAGTCCGCAGAACGTCCCCCAGGTTCCGCCATGGGGTCGTGGTCAGGGCACCTCCCTGTTTGATCCGTGGCTGCCAGGCTGACCTCACTCCTTCCTTACTTCGTTTTCCTCTCTTTAAACTTTCCATTGTAAAATAAAAACAATACAAAAACTCACACAGGACGGATGTGTAACTTAATGAGTTATTAGTAGTACAGCCAAACCCCCTCGAGACCACCAGCCAGGTCAAGGGAGGGGATCGTCCAGTGCCCCGGAAGCCCCTTCCTCGCCCGCTCCCCACGCCACTCCCTTCAGGGTGACGGGACCGACTCTGCGGGAGTCCCTGGGTTTCCTTTCCTCGCGGTTCCACCGCCCGAGTGCGCCTGCCTCAGCACCGCATCGTGGTCTTGCCCACTTTTTAACTCCGTGTCCTTTAGGTCTTCTTTTAATCTTCAGGCCCCTCCTCCTGTCTTTCCCTTCCAGCTTCCGTGTGGAGCGGCCCTGGCCCGAGGACCGCGGGCGTCTCGCACAGCCCGCCTGGTTGCTCTAGTTTTTTTTTTTTAACGTGGACATGTAATATGATTCCACATCTGTGCCTGCATATTTATTTTGATAATATAACAAACTTCTGTGACTGTCACCCAATCGGAAGTGAGAACGTTGGCAATAACCTCCCCCCCACCTCCATGGCCCTCCCCACCCACCCTGCCGCCATGTCTAAGGTAAGCACTGTTTTGAATCTTGTTTTCATGGTGTCTGTATTTAATATAGATCGGCACAGATATCAATAATACTTATACACTGTAGACATTCATCTGTAGATAAATGTTCCTATCTAGAGGTGCTCCTGGAAAAACATTGCTAGGTTTTAGTTGCGCTTTCTGGGGACTTGGTTGTCATACTCAATACGATCTTGCTAAGATTTATCCGTATTGATGTAAACGGCTGCTCAGAGGCGACTGTTAAACACACTGACCGCGTCAACGACAGCCTTCTCATCATCCTGCGTGCTGTTCTGGCACTGTGGGCTGTGGTGCTTCACCACCTCCTCCTAGGAGAGGACCACAGTCCACAGCGGCCCGTCTGGCGGGCGTTCTGGAAGAGGGAGCCGCTGCCCACCCACCAAGGTGGTATCGAGAGGATGTTCCCCAAAGACGCGGCTGAGCGGCTGCCTCCTGCACGGGAGGGCGCGCTCCGTCCTGCTGGGACGCTGCAGCGAGTTTGCACCGTGGCTCCTACTTCCCCGTGAGGAAGCCGGGGCTACCGCTGCTCTGGCGAACCGAGCTTTTGAGGCCTGGAGAAATCTCAGACCCAATTCAAGAAGGCACAGCACGCACGGTGCCAGAACTAAGGCAAGGATCAGAAGTTTTCCCCTGAATGTGGTTCACATGTCTCGCCTTGGTCTCAGATTTCTCTCTGTAAAATGCGGGAGTTGGATTAAAATTACCTTTTAGGTCTAAGATTTGATGACGAGGGATTTCACGGTCTGGCCCTTTGCAAGCTGTCCTGGGGAATCGGATGCAGGAAGGGCCTGGATGATGAGGCAGCTGGATGGGAGGAAAGCGACTCCTGACTGTCAGCTCCGCCGTGCGGGCGGGTCCTGCGTGTCGGGACCCAGAGGCCTCTTCAGCAGAGCGGCCCCTGACGGGCAGTTCCCATCCTGAAAGGAATCATGCTGCCGATTGTTTAAAAAGCCTGGGACATGAGTCCTTTTTTGGGAGAATGTGGGGTATTTGGCATTGTGCATTAGGAGGTTTTTGGATGAGCAGGAAAGAGCATTTAAGCTGTGTTTAGAGAAATTAGACTCTGCTTGTGGACACACTGCAGATGTTTGCAACGGAGCGTCACACTGTGGAGTGAACCCAAATAGCCGTGGGGCTCTTCCGGGCTCAGGCTTGTGTCCATGGCTTTTTATGTTCCTTATACGGTGTCCCCGGAGCTCGCAGGTCAGACATTGCAAACCTTAGCGTTTCTCATCTGTTTCTCTTTGTGGTTAACACTGAGGCACCTGGAGGCAGCGCTGGGACCCCGGGGTGCGTTCCTGGGCAGGTGCTGCTGGAACACGGGGATCTCAGCTTGGCGTGAGCATGAAGGAACATGACACAGCCAGGCGACGGGGCAGTGACAACACGCCCCAGGAGAGGAGCAAGGGGCCGGGCCGGCACTGAGATTCCGTCCAGCAGCCAGGAATCTGGAGGTCTGTCCTTGCAGCCGGGAATCTGCAGGTCTGTCTGTCTTCACAGCCAGGTCTGTGGATTGGTCCAGGTTAGGTCTGAGCTTTTGTTCCTGCATCTTATTTCTGAGTTTTGGGTGCGAAAAGAATTTAAGAGCTTCTTGTGTTACAGGGGCTATGACGTGGCTGTAGGAATATTCAGTTCCTGAAACCGTTTCTGGCACACAGTAAGTGCTCAATAAGTACTCAGTGGAGACATAAACTTCGTCCTTGAAAGCTGTCAAAGTTCAGGTGCTCACAAATCTTCGTACCTTAATCAAATGCGGCATCTTGGCAATTGCAGCTGTGTGACATCATAGAACATTCCACAACCACCGGCTGCTCCTTCGGTGCCGAGTCACTGTGGACGCAACGCATCCCCATCCAAGCTCCAGAAGGTTTCATCAGGTAGCAGACGCCTGCTAGGCCGCCAGATCCCGGCGGGAACTTGAAATAAGGATGTACTGCTTCCCCTGCTCGCTCCATCTTAAACTTCTTTTTTGGCTTCAGTGATGTCATCTGCTCCCTTCGTGTTTAATTTGCATTTTAGGAAGGTTGCCGTGGTGACGAGGCAAGGACAGGCTGGAGGGGAGCCAGGCTGGAGGCAGAGGCCCGTTAGGGGGAGGGCTGGGCGCTGTATATAAGACCGGGCAGAGGAGGGAACAGCCCGAAGGTACGTCTGCAGGTAAAATCGAGGCTTTGCCCACAGCTGAATGGGCTGCTGAAGCTAACTGATATTTGACACTTTTTTCATGACTTGCCTTACCCAAATACATGCCTATGATTTAATTGCATTGCACCTTTGATTACGAAGACAGTAGAAGTTCATTGTCTGACGACATCACTATCTGACGACATCAGCATTCAACATCAGGGACACCTTACAGAGCTCAGGTGCAGCAACACTGACCTCCATCACTGCCTGCGAGTGAGCTGCCGGCAGTAAATACATGACAAGTGTCGCCACCACTTCTGGAACAAGTAGCTGTTGGACCCCATAGCTTGAGTCTTTAAACACAAAACAGGTCACTTCTTTGACATGTATTTATTATTGCAGATACACATACACACACGTGCGGAGGTATCATCCTAGCGCCCTCCAAATGCTATCATGGAAAAATCAAATGTTACTTATGTGGATTATTCACTGCAATTGCTGGTTAGGTTTTGTTTTTATTTTAAATTCTTCCTGTGCCCCCCCTTTGTCATGAAAACACATTTTGTTTTAGAATTGGAACAAATCCAGGTCCATTTTTTTCTTTGCTTAAGTGAAACTAAGCCGATGCTATATTTCTTGCTGCAAGTTGCTTTCGCTTCTCTCACACAGGACATAATTGAAGAAGAAAGGGCAGCAAGATCAAAAGTTGATGTGTCTTAAAATTGAATATTTCAGGTCCACCAGTTATAGCTGAATTGTAATGATGTCTGAGATGTGACTGCTTTAGCCTTCTGGAAATCTCATACCCGTTTGAAATGCCAAGTGCTCTGAGAGTCAGTAATTTTGGCCAGTTGAAGCCTTGGTCTGTTGCAGATGGAGGAACGCCACTGTGTATTTCTCAGTAGAATTGACTTTCTTGTCTGAGTCGGGGGCAGCAAACTCTTTCTCTGGAGGGCCAAAGAGCAAATGCAGACGTTGAAGGCCATGTGGCCTCCGTCTCAATTACCCAACTCTGCTGTGAGTCAGAAGCAGCCGCACGCGGTCTGCAATAGAACTGTTTACAGAACCAGGCGACAGGCCGGACTTGGCCCTGAGGCTGCACTTTGCCAACTCTGCTCGGTGTTTATGAACATAGTCCTGTGAAGTCTGACCGTGTTGTTTTACTCTTTCCTGCTAGGAAACAGTCCTGGTGAAATGTGGTCGTCCTGGCCACCCTTTCATTAATAAGATGTATCATTTTGACAGGTAAGTGCTTTCCAAGATGACGTGTAAAGCAAACTTAAAAAGCACATTAAGAATACAAATTCTGCATTGGGGTTTGATTGATAGAATGTGCAATAGTGTGATGGTGTTTGGCGCTGTCTACTGTGATATCTGCTTCCACTGTTGCTTCCTCAACTAGACCATGAACCCTGCAGGGCTTGGGGCAAGGTCTGACCTTGAATTCCAGGAAATGAGGTCACGTGTTTAAGTCTTGGCCGTCTGGATGGTGGCCGGGTGGCTGCAGCTAGAGTTCAGGGGTGGATGTATTATCGTAAAAGCTGCTGACTTCCTCCCCGCCCCCCCTCTGATTCCTCTGACTCCTGACCCTGATGTTGGCATCCAGGACGTGACGTGGGAAGCGCGAAACAGCAGGTTAAGGAAAGCCTGTGGTCCACGGATAAAGGGCGCAGCTGAATGGCTTGAGCAAACGTGCCCTTCAGATGAAGGGCTCCAGGATTTGATTAGCGCTTTCTGGTACTTAGCAGAGCTGCAGATAAAGAATGAAAAAGGCTGGGATTAGGAAAAATGACTTTTAAAATATGGTCCCTTCCCCCACGCTGCTGATAGACAGCTGTGGCTGGTAGTTAGAGCCGCAGAGCAGAGAACGTCCCACCGCGTGTGGCCAGGTGCCGAGTGACACTGCACCAGCGATGTGAGGGGAAGTCCCAGAATCCACGTGGGCAAGAGAGGCACGGAGTTACCGGACCGTGAGCGAGGCGGGGGTTAGTGGCGGACCTCACACTGATGTAGATCTGAGATTTTACCAGGTACGTCGAGGCAGATCATGTCACTCAGTCTTCACAAGACACCCGGGGAGAGCTGTAGGCGAGACGGCGGCTCAGCCACGTTAAATGGCTCGTTAGTCAGTAAGCGGCGACTTTGGAATAAGGGCCAGGTCTTCTCGTCCCACCAGGCTGCTCAGCTGAGAGCAGCAGACAAGGGCACCGCCCGTGGCCAGCCCCGTCAGCGACCGTCGGGCCTGCTTTGGGGAAGAAGGATGTGGAGGCCCCGCCCCGCCCACTCAGACGTGCGCTTGCCCCGAGCGCGGTCTCAGTGGTCGTGCTCACAGGACTGCGGGGGCTGAGGGGAGACCAAACTGTGGTGTCTGAACTGAACAAAGGAGTGGAGGAGGTTGTGTGACTTGCTATTTGTCTAGGTAAGAAGGAAGATTTTGGATATGAAACTCTACGAGAATTTATTCCGCAGTAATACTGTTTTAGCACACACGTCCATCTCATGTTTATGAACAGTGGAGTGGATGGTTCTTATGAAATCAGAACACTGTTAGTTTTTATAACAGCTTTTTGTGGAACTAATAAATGTCAAAATATTTTATTTCAGTTATGAAAAAATTATAACACTTTCAGCAGCTAACTATTTCTAAAAATAAATTTCCATGAGGAGGAAAAGTGCAATTCTTACTATTCAGAAAAAATGTTGATGGGCCCAGGGTCAGAAGAAGGTGGTTATCTCCTAAGTGGAATAAAAATATTATTTAAAGAAAAAGACCAACTAAAAGTAACGTCATTGATCCAAAATGCAATGAAAAAAATAAATAATTTTTGCTGTTGTATCAGGAAGCCGAAGGGGTCTTGGCTGTGCTCTTTCACAGCCTGACACATTGGCGTTGAACTTCCACATGTAGTAGTTCAAGTGCGAGCATTTTCTGAGCACCTGTTAATGTGCAAGGCGCCACGTTGGGTACGAGGGACGTAGGTAGGAATAAGACGATGTTTCTCCCACTCAGAGCCAGGAGCGCGGGGACGTGCGCAGGAGACTGCCCAGGGCCAGGAGCGCGGGGACGTGCGCAGGAGACTGCCCTCCTACATCGCAGCCTGCGGGAGGGACTGCCTGAGGCCCCTGAACTGGGTGGTGACAGCTCCGTGAACTGGGAGTTAACGGGTAGAGAAAAGGAGGAAGGACCCAACAGGCAGGGGGACAGGACGGATCTGCTCTCCTGCTGGGACTGCCTTTCCTCCCTGGTTCCCAGCTGGTCGAGCTCCCCACGGCCTCGCCAGGCAGCGCAGTCAGACCTGGGGCTGCTGCCCGCCGTCCGCGAGACGTGGTTTCTCTGCGAAGTTTCTCTTCCGAGTGAAGCTGCGTCTTTTCATTCATTTGGGAGTCACTGCATTTCTTCTGTTCTGTGCACTCTCACGTCTCTAGCTATTTTTCTATATGAATATTGGCCTTTTTCACCTCTATTTTTAGAAGCACTTGATATATTAGAGATATCAATGTTTTCTTTGTGGTTTAAGTTGCGACTAGTTTTTCCAATTGTGTTTTTTATTTGCTTCTGATGCCTTCTAGCCACACAAAAGTGCTTTTTTCTTTTATGTAATCATAGTCACATAGGCTGACAGATTACAGAAGAATGTACCCGCATACTATTCTAGTACTGGCACGGTTTGATCTTTTACTTTAAACTCGTGGTCCATTTGGAATGTACCCTCCTATATTTCATAAAGAATGGGTACAATTTTATCTTTTTCCATATATCTATCCATTTACTTCAATAATATTTATTAGAATACATCTTTTCCCACTAATCTGAGATGCCCTTTACCATATAATCCATTGCCATGTGAAATTATGTCTATTTCTAGAACCTCTCCCTCTTCCTTTGGTGCGTTTATTTGTTCGTACGCCGAGACTGAGCTGCCGCGAGCAAGGCCGCATGGTCGACGGTCTGAGACAGCCCTCGTCCCGCCACTACTTAGTTTCCAGGGGTCTCCTTTCTATTCTTGAGCTTTCGTTTTGCCAACTAAATTTGTAATGTGTTTGCCAAACAATCAAATTGCATAAATCCAGGAAAAACCTGGTGGCATATATGGTATTTTGGGGGGATTGAAGTAGTTTATAAACTAACTTTGGGAAAACAGGCGTCTTCACGGAGCTGAGTCTTCCTGCCCGAGACCCGGCGGCATCCTGCCGTGTGTCCCGGCTCCGTTGGTTGTGTCTCAGGAGGCTTCACGGTTTCTCCGTGACGAGTGCGGACGTTTCCTGCTAAGTTTCTGCCCCGGTATTTTATTTCTTTTGCTATCGCGTGTAGCGTCTTTTCTCCCATTATATCGTCAAACTCCTTTTTTGTACATATAAAAGCTATTGACTTTGTACATTAATTTTATAACCTGCTCTTTACTAACTTCTCTTACGGATTTAGCAGTCGTTCTCATCGTTCGACTTTGGACTTCCTGGATGTGTGGCCATGTCACCTCCAGGTACAGACAGCGTTGCCTTTTCTGATTCTTCCGTCCTAGCATCCGCTTGACTTGCGACACCGCTCATCTCGGCGCGGGCGGCGGGCGTCTTGGGCTCGTCCCTCACGGTCGGGAGAGAAACTCCAGTGTGCTTATGAAGGAAGAGGTTCGCGAAGCCGGCGGTACTTCCATCTGGTGCTTTACAGAAAACATTCGCCAGCCCTTGCTGCAGACCGAGAGACTTCGGAGGCACTGGACCACTGCGATGTGCGTGCCCCCTCCGAATTAGGATTTTTAAAAGACTAACTAGCAAAATAAACTTATCAGACAGCTGGAGAAAGGTGAACGCTGACTTTTTTGATGATACTGAGGAATTACTGTAAATTTTTAAAAATGTAACAATGGTAGTATTGTTATGTGTTTTAGAAGTCATCATCTTTTAGAGACACGCACCTAAACCCTTGCAAATGTGGTGGGTCTGAGGCCGGCGTCCAGGCCCCGCACGGTGTGAGGGGCAGGGAGTTCCCGCAGGCCCCGGGTGGCAGAAGCTGGGCGACGCACTTTCTGCGTTCATTTTACTGTTCTTTCTATGTTTGTGTTTTACTGTATGTTTTTAGTGAGAAGTTAAAAAAAAAAAATCTCAGACCTCAGCATCTTCCCACTTGCTCAAAACGCTCTTCCAAATCATGCGTGAGGCGGTGCCTTACAGAGAACCCTCCTGAGGTTTACCATGAATCCTGCTTTTGGAGAAAATATGGGTCAACTGGGCATTATGATGTGTTTTGAAAATGAAAGAAGAGAAAAACTTGGGTCCAGCTACATTAAAACCTGTTTTTAGGAAACCAAGGTTAACACCAAAGCACATTTGGTTCAAATACAGCCGGCCACTGGCGTCTGTTTCGTGGTCTGCCACGCAGTCTGCCCTGCACTCGCATCCCAAGCTTGCTTCAGATTGTGCAGCAAACTGCGTTTTCTGGAGGTTACTTCCTGCTTAGCTTCATTCGTATCTGCTTATATAAGACGCAGACCCACACGAGATCCCCTCTGTGCAGCAGACGTCCCAGGCCCCCGGTGTCTAGTAAAGTTCTACTGAACTAACCCGGGGGCCAGGAGAACAAGACTTTGAAGAGCTTGAATGTAAAATCAAATGTTGTGTACCAAATATTGCCCAGAGTGTGATGTTTACATTGTTGTTGTTGAGCCCACTTAGGTAGACCTAATTTAGCTACAGCATAATTATATCTTTTCTCCTTCCTTCCTCCCTCCCTTCTTTCCTTCCTCCCTTTGTTCTCTCTTTTCCTTCCTTCTTTCCAAGCATTTACAACTTGCTTCTGCTTATTGCATTTTTTAAACCGAGGAAGCAGTATCTTCACTGTCCCTTAAACTTTGTTAGCTTGAAAGGTGATACAAGTTAACGTTTTGCTGACCAATCCTGGCAGAGCTGGGAGGTTACAGGGAGCACACGGGACACTGTTCCCAGGTTTCCGTGTTTGGACACCCGCTAGCTCTCTTCTTTTTCTATTCACGCATCGTCTTTGCTTTATCTTTCAGGGTTTATGGTCCAGCAGAGTCTCAGAGAGCGGTATTTGGAGAGGTGTGCCCCCTCCTCACGTCTCTCTTAGACGGGTGAGTTACAGTATTTTTAAGGCCAACTATTACAGCTGTATTTAAGTACAAGTAAACTTCCTTCCTGCTGCAGAGTGAGAACATAGCAGTCGAGTCTGAGCATTTCATGTGACGTGGAGCAAACTGGTCCATGGCCCAGCACGCATGCGCTGTCCTCTAACGGAGAGTGTCTGTCCCCTGGGAAAGGACCAAAAGGATTAGAAAAGTAATTGCTCAGTGAGGACATGTACCTTGGGTTCCAAAACACACTTTAGTTACTTGGCGTGTGGGCTCAGGACTGTGATGGCAGCTAGCTGCCTTTCCTTCTTCTGGGTTACTTTTACATCTCAGAACTTTGGAAAAGTCTGTTAAGAATTTTAACATCAGATTGAGGGACTTTTTCTCTGGGAATCAGCCTCTATTCTTGGATGACACAACTGCGGATTTCTCAGGCAGTGGGTCATGATGGAAGGGCGACGAATATGTCGTCAGCAATAAATGGAACCAGGTCTGGGCACCTAATTAAGACACTGTGAGCCAAGACTTTCTGCCCGAGGGTGCTTTGAAGAATGTCAGTATTGTGGATGTGGAAACCGTCGTCACTGCGCTGCCGATGGAGGCCACGCGGGCTGTGTGCCCACAGGCGTGACATCCGGTGAGCGCTGCCCACGTGGCAAACCCTCGCGCTGCGCAGACACCGGGCCGTTGCTCCAATCATTGTGCAGTTTCGGCCTCAACTGTTCTTCCGGGGAAGATTGCGATTTTTATATCCATCTGAAAAAAATCATTGAAAATGATAGGGGAGTCTCTTTTTCAGTAGGCATCTTTCAAGTAAGCAGATTCCAGAAATAAAAAAGGCATTGCGGTTAGCATGATCTAGCCAGGGCTGCCCTTGCAGGGTAATGGGAAACAGATGGGCTTCTTTTAAGTCCTGAGCTTCCTTCTTCAGCAAGGTCTTTCACGCTATGCTCCTGAATGGTTTGGAAAGTCCCTTTAAGACCCTCTGCCGGCTGCAGTCAAAGACATTCCAAAGAAATGTGTGTAGGATGCAGGGAAGGTGTGGGAGCTCAGGAATGTAGCGGGGTTTTGGTGCAGACGCCTTGGGACTTTAATTCTGGAAGGAAAACATGTGGGTTGGTGACTGAGGCCCTGATCGGTGCTGCCCGAACGTGTGGCTTCCAAGACCTTTTTGGCGGAACTTTACAGTTAACCTTGGAGATCGAGGCCTCCTGGGCTCTGATGTTTTTTGTATCACTGTTCTAGGTGCAATTTAGACATCGAGCAGTCAGAACACTTTCTCAAAATCCTCTTCTCAGAACAACAGCAATTATCTGTTTGGCTTGCGGTGCTGGGTGCACCAGTGAAACAGAGAAATCTGGGTCAAGCTTCATCAGTTAAATCAGAATCTCTGAGGGACACAGGGGATCGTGTCCTCTCCCCAGGTGATTCTGACGGTGGTCAGGCCTTGGACCTCCTGCTCTGACCCATGAGCCCACTTGGCGTTTGGCCGGGTTGACCTGCACCTTTGCAGCCAAAAAAATCTTAAATCTCACGGCCGAGAATATAATTTTATATTGTAAACTTATTTTAAATATCCTTTCAAATGGATCTGATCTTCCCACTGATGTTTTGGGCTAAGTAACACAACTGGAAGAAAATTTAGGGATCTGTCGATGGTTCTTCTCTGCCACAAGCTGCAGTCACATAACCCCACGTCACAGGTGCTGCCTGTCACGGAGAGGACGGCTGCACACGTGCGTTGACTACCCACAAGAAAACCCCGAAGTCCCTTGGAATCACAAAGTATAAAAACGTGTGTTACTGTCTTAACTGTAGTTAACAACACTAGTAATCAATTGTGTACGTAATAGGGGAAAATACTTCTAGAACATCAAAAGAAAATATGCAAACTTTTCTATCATTTAATATATGTTATGTGTAGTGAGCCTCATTCTATGAAGATGAACTGGCGCTGGGCAGCTCTGATGCTGCTGTCAAAGTTAAGGTGAAGTCGAGGGGATTCCGGAGGGACTTTGTAAGGTCAGCATCCCCGAGAGAGCCACGAGCTGGCAAAGGGGTGGCAGAGCCACCCCTGCCCCTGGGGACGTCAGAGCAGCAAGAATTAGGGATTGCTGAGGTGCTTGCGGTGTGTGAGTGAGCACGGATATAACTCAGTCAACACCGTGCAATGAAACAGCAACAGGGACGGATTATGCAAAAGTAGTTGTGGTTAAACGAAAGCCTGGCGTGTGAGGAATGGAGTCACAGGCGAGTACAAAACGGAATCTACCGAAATTTTCATTCAGGGAGAAATTGTTCCTGGCATCAGATGCGGCACTAGACCCCGTGTGTCCTGCTAGCCGGATGTGCTCTGCGTTGCAGGTACAACGTCTGCATTGTGGCGTACGGACAGACGGGCAGCGGCAAGAGCTACACCATGCTGGGGCCGCGTTTGAAGGGCGAAGAGTCCCAGCGTGACGTGGGAATCGTCCCCAGAGCCGTCGAGGAGCTGTTCAGGTACCTCTGCAGGGGTCGGCCGTGAGCAGGGAGGGAAGGCGGCCGTGCGGGGGTGGCGGGCTGCGCAGGGAGCTCTCGTGCGGGAGGAAACCACTGCAGAAGATGCCCGAACCTGATGGCCTGTCAGATGCATTCGGCATTACCAAGCGCTCAGATTCTTCTGGCGTTATCGCCACGAATGCTACACATTCTTAGGACACGTGTGTTGAAATTGTATCGTTAAGACAAAACTTCCTGAATGAGATCCCACTTAGAGGACACCCAGTCGGGGCCGGGGGCGGGGCGGGGGTAGTGGTTCTCTGCTGCAGAGCGGGAAGGACAGTGAGAACCGCCGCTGTCCGGCCTCCTGCCCCCACGGGGAGTGGCCACTCCCAGGAGTTGCAGCAAACCCGTCCCGTGGAAGAGTCTCCCGACCTTCCCAGAGAAAATAGTAAAACATTGTCCCCACAGTCTCAGCCTCAGGGTCCTCGGCGGTTCGTCCTCGGCCTGACTGCTGGCACCGCCGCCCCTGGGCAGTCACTTGGCAGGATGCTCATGTTCGCGTGTTTGCGTCCTGCTGAGAGCTGCGGGCTCACGTGGCGGCTGCCTGTTATGTGTCCGCACGACGCTGTCAGCTCTGTGAGAGACGCCACCTTCACGCGGTGGGGCCGGTGGAGCCTCTGCTCCTCCCCTCTGAGGTCTGCGTTTCCCTGCCTGGCCCTCTCTCGTCTTAGGACCAGGCCAGACCGAGAGGCAAGACCTTCCACAACAGCCTCATGTGTTGGTGCCTCTTCAAACCAATATTCCTTAAATATTTGTGACAGAAACAGGTTTATCAATTTACTTCTACTAACTGTTCCTGAAAAGAAGTCGGCACAAACTTCCCATCTTTTCAGCACTTGTCTACCATCTCCCGGGAGACGCCCAGTCTGGATGGGCTACAGGGATTTGCTGGACATCCCCACGGCAGGTGACCTCAGGTCGACAGGGAGGGCACCAGAGCACAGGCCTGCGCGCTTTCGGGGTGGGAGTCTGCGCGCTAAGGCCTTAACGGTCCTGCCTGGGAAGATGCTCCTCCTCCAACAGCGGGAGTCGGGACGATCCTCCCAGTGTTCTGCACGACTGCTTTCTTCTGTCCCGCGAGAGCCGGGTCCCCAGATGGCAAGCACAGCCACGGTGGACGCGGGAGACGCGGATTCGCAGCGTCTCTGGGTCCCGCGATGGCGTGTCCAGCGCGAGCGCGGTGCGGCCGCAGAGGCTGTGCGGCTTGCGCTGGGTCTGTAGATGTGTGACGCGCAGCGAGTTCAGAGCAGGCGTCTTGCACTGAATAAGTCGCGTTTCTGGTCATGGAATTCACAACCAAAGCTTCTCTGTCAGGGCGGCAAAGAGGGTGGAAAAGAGCTTGGGAAAATGCAGTGGGGACCGTCGGGAAAGCACCTGGGCGTTGGGACTGTCTAGAAACGGAACCGCCAGCCTCAGCAACTGGCAACACCACTTTCCTGACAGGTGTTTAAATTACCTCATTTCTAAAATGGGTCTTAGAAATGTTTTACATCTCGGGACATGAAACTGTGACTTCACACGCTGCGTCTTCACAGCGACTTGGAGTGCTGGGCCCCTTCGGACTGGAGGTGGAGTCTCTGTTCCGCCTGGGTGGCTGTGGCGAGGCCTGGGCCTCCGGAAGCCTCGCTGCCTCCATTCACAGAAACGAGAGCAAGAGAGCACACGTGGAAATGTTCGCCTCTGGGCTCTGTGGTCACCGCAGACAAGATCGGGAAAGGAGCGCGTCTGGCCAGGCTGGGGGAGCTTGGGTGCGCGTGACGGAAACCACACACCGTCCGTCCACCCGGCATCAGGACCACGGCGACATCAGGAATCGATGCACAGATTGTTTATGCGAACCTTTTACCCTAAAAAATACCCTCCCAGGCTGCCGAAGTCGCCAAGGAAGGTTTCTCTGCCATTTTCAATAAAGCAAGAGGCCGCCCCTGGGGTTCTTGCTTCACAGCTTCTCCCTTCCTCGTGGACCCAGTGCTGACACCACGTCCTCCTAGATCATCCCCGCTGGGTCCTGTGGATAGGAATGTATGGCCGGGCGCTGTCAAAGGCACAAGGGATACAAAACTGCACGTGCCCAATCCTCTGTCCCGGAGGAGTCCAGCGTGGAAGCAGGCGGGGAGCTGCGTGCAGGCCTGGGGGGCAACCGAGAGCAGAGACGGAGCGTGGAGGGCGCTGGGGCTGGAGCCCCTGCTGCCTCCCGCTGCCCGCGGAGGGGAGGTCGGTGTCTGGTACAGCTCACCTCTCCGCACGCGGCCTCTCAGAGGCCAAGAAGGAAGACGGTGGTTTCCAACACTGTTCCTGCACTACAGCCACAGCCCCGTGAATAGCGGGAAGTCCTTCCGAGTAACTCCTGGGTGTTATGTAGACGAGAAATTTCTTTTCTCTTTCACTTTAGTCTTTTTTATTTTCTTTGTTGTTGACAAAGCTCTTCCAGATCTGGATGAAAACCGCGGCAGTGCTAGGAGGGGAGCGCCCAGGCAGTTCTGTCTCGGTCCAAACAGTACCCCGCCCTAGGCCCAGCCTGCGTCTCGGGCACCCTCACGCAGAGAAAAAGGCAAAGCAGGTCATTCCGCTGTGCACGTGTCACAGAGGCGACAATTCCCAGAGACGGAGGCTGCCTTGGCTCTCTGTTCCTCGGTGACGAGGTTGGAGGGCTTTTGCCAAAGGGAGGCGGCAGGGAGCCGCCAGCGCAGGGGAGAGGGAGGGCAGAGAGGGAACCGCGGGTTAGCGGACATGTTTGCCTTGCTGTGGGTTGTGGTTGTTTTTTCTTTTCCTCTAAGTGTAGTATCTTTATTTTTGAAAGTTTTCCACAGTCAGCACATAGCACTTTAAGAGATGGAACAGAATAAGAGATGCAGTTGTTTTTTTAAGAGTCTGAGTAGGTTTTAAGGAGGTCACAGGAAGATCTTGTTTGGAATTGGGGTAAAGAAACAGAAATAACTTTAACATAAACAGACCCGTTACTGGAAAAGTGCTGAATGCGCTGTCTTTGCCGCCTGCCTTGGGCTCTGGGTGGTGGCGGCCGTGGGCGTGGCGACTTCTGCGTCCAGGCCGTGTGTCCTTCCCGCTCCTTTGCTGGGTGTGTTCAGAATCGTAAGGGCGCTGATTGCTGGGGCAGGTGACTTAAATGTAACTCGGATAAAATAACCGTTCCCGAGACAGCATCTCGGTATTGGTGGGGTGGAGCGTAGCGGTTTTGCGGGACATTTTCTAGGGCTGTGACGGTCCCACGTGGCACGCCGTCTTTTAGCCGGTCTTTAAGGGGTCACTGAAGTTTCTCCAAGCGTTTATGCTCTTCTGTGTTTCCTACAGGCTTATTTCGGAAAACCCACTGACAGGCCCAACGGTTGAGGTTTCCGTAGTGGAAGTTTATAACAACGACATTTTCGACCTTCTGGCCAAAGACAGTCTGGCGGTGGAGTCTGGGGCCAGGCGTGAGGCGACAGCAGCCAGGGACGGAAGGAAGGAGGCCGCCGCCCCGACCTGCGAGTGAGTAGCTCTCGGGCCCCGAGGCCGGGACGCTGTGACTCGCAGACAGGACCAGCCCCGCTGGCCGGACCAGTGCTGCTCACAGCGAACAGCCCGTGCGCTTCCCGACGCTCGGCATGTGTCACAGCGTTCCACGCGTCCAGCAGTTCTCTTTCGTTGATGGTGACTGTGTGGAGGTGGTGTAGACATTAATGAGCTGGAGGGGGGGTCATTTCCCAGGGTGTACGTGGATCAAAATAAACGACTTTCATACATCAGTAATATCTTCCTAAAGCTACTAAAAAGAAAAAGAAAAAAACAGAAAAGTTGTTGCTTTACAATCAAAATTAAATCTGTAAATAAATAAACGTATCTTTAAAAGCATCTTCGTAAGCACCTCGGGCAGACGTGGTCCCGCCTCACAGACGAGGACACAGGCTTGGAGAGGGAGCCGCTTCCCGGCCGCGGCCACCTGGGCGGGACAGATGTCCTTACCCGCGCTTGTAAACGTCAGTATGTTTTAGAATAGGATGGCAAGTCCTCCTGTCAAAGCGAGGGCCCTCGTCCTAAGTAGATGTTCTCGACGTTGTACATTTTACGTCTGTGTACGCGTGTGTCTGCGTGCGCATGCGCTGGCGGGATTCGCCTGACTCACAACCCGGCGTGACGGGAGCTCCCGTCTGTCAGGGCCAGTCCTGGGGTCTCCGAGTTAGCCGGGCCAGGGCCTGCAGGAGATTTTTAATATTTCAAAAGCTCGAAAGAAGTCACACATTTAACCATGATGTTTGCACAAAGTAACCAAAACTCTCAGCGACTGACTGGCAGACTGTGATCAAAACGTCGTCTCCTGCTGCCCAAGAGCTGTGATTAGCTGTCACATCTCGTCAGCTAAAATGGGGAAACAGATTAAACTTTGACACAGAAATACGACCCGATGAGCAAAACATTTCAAAGCCGTGAGCCCACGAGGGTCCAATAGACAGAGGATGGTTGGTGTGGACACGTCAGCAGCCTCTGACTCAGGCAGGCGTTTCCGGGTAGGCAGTCGGAGACGCGGTGGTTCATCCGCCTCAAAGAGGAGAAACTTGACTTCCGATGTGTTATTTGGCCTAAGATTGGCCGCAGTGCACCTTCTTGCAATCGGCACGCTTAGCTGTGGTGAGAGGCCACTGCTGGCCGGGCAGTGTTCGGGTGGCCGTCCCCTCCCGGTGTGTCTAACGCTTGCCATCCTCCCCAGGGCCGTCAGCAGTGCCTCGGAGCTCCTGCGGCTGGTGCGTGGGGGTCTGCGGCGCAGGGCGACACACCCCACGCTCGTGCATGAGGATTCGTCCCGGTCTCACCTGATCGTAACGGTGACTGTGACCACAGCCCTCGGCTCCGACAGCTCTGGTAAGTCGCCAGCTGCGGTCAGTGGAAAGTCATACAAAAACCCACTTTGGAAGCAAAGATTAGGGTCCTCGCGGCAGCATCTGCGTCTCACAGGACCCAGGAGTCGGAACAGCAGCCACTTTCTGGAGTCCTGGGACCCAAACCCAAGAGGCCCCTGGGAGCCCAGGTGGAGAAGAGAGAGTGGGGGTGGGGGGAGGGACACACGTGGCCAGTGAAACGCAGTACGGAGAGACAACAGGGCGTATGTACACCGCGGAACACGGCGCGTTCGTCACGTACCACACCATCAGAGCCCTTCCCGTCAAACATCAGCTACAAACCACACAGCCGATGTGGTCATTCCAGTTTGGTAACAAAAAGAACGCCTGTTGTGACGGCCCGGGAAGTCTTGGGCTGTAGCTGCCGGAATCACGAGCACAGGACACCCCAGCCCTTGGGGGCAGCAGGGCTGGGAGGGCCCCAAGAACCTGCCCTTCCGCAGGCTCAGGCACCGGGGACCACACCTGAGACCGGGGCCCGTGTCAGACCAGTGACAAGGAAACCAGGGCAGCGTGTTCACACAGGGCGGTGACGGTCATCGCTCACTCACGCTGCGCTCGGACGGACGTTCCTCGTCCTCGTCACCATGACACTTGAAACCTGTGGCCTCTGCGGGAGGTCATGGCGCCGCGCTGACTACCGCCACCTAGGCGCGGGACGTCCCAGGAGCAGCAACCGTTTTTACCACAGCCGTGCGCAGGACACGCAGGAAAGGTGGCCGCCACGCGCAGGGGAATGAGATTGGGCCTCGTGTTCTTTTTAAAGGTTATGCGTATTTTCCATGCTTTGCACAGTGAGTGTTAGGTTTTAAAAACATCTCAGAGCGTGTTTAGGAAAAACACCTTCTGGAACTGACACGTCAAAATGAAGAAGGCGTCAGTCAGGACTTCTGTGGAAGATCAGAGATTGCAGGATTTATTTCTGAAAGCACTCATCGAGGCCGGGCGCGGTGGCTCACGCCTGTAATCCTAGCACTCTGAGGGGCCGAGGCAGGCGGATTGTTTGAGCTCAGGAGTTCGAGACCAGCTTGAGCAAGAGCGAGACCCTGTCTCTACTAAAATTAGAAAGAAATTAATAGGACAACTAAAAATATATAGAAAAATTAGCTGGGCATGGTGGCGCATGCCTGTGGTCTCAGCTACTCAGGAGGCTGAGGCAGGAGGATCGCTTGAGCCCAGGAGTTGGAGGTTGCTGTGAGCTAGGCTGACACCACGGCACTCTAGCCCAGGCAACACAGTGAGACTTTGTCTCAAAAAAAAAGAAAAAAAAAAAAAAAAGCACTCATCGATTTTCTGACTGGAATTTTAAGTAACATTTCCAAATCCTTCTAAGAAAATCTCAATTTTCTTTGGCTAGATGAGGCATTAGTTCAGCTTCCGCAGAGACAACCGCTTCCTTCCTCCTGTTCTTCCCCATGTCCCGCGGAGAACCCGCGACGATCACCCCGACCCCCTCCCGTCTGTGTCGATAGTCAGAGGCAAAGCGAAGCCGTTCCTTCCTCCCTGTGGGCGGGTGGGCCTCGAGGGTGAAGTTCCAGAAGCTTCTTGGAACTGATGTGGGTCCAAGTGCAGTTTCCTGCCACCTTTTCCCATTTGTCCTCCTCCTGCCCAGACCCTCCGACGGTGGCAGGAAGGAGGAGGAGTGTGAGTGGCCCAGCCTGGCACCCGAGGCTCCCCGACCACGCAGGACGCACGGAGAAGGTGTCCGCCAAGCTGCAGCTCGTGGACCTGGCCGGCAGTGAGTGCGCAGGTGAGCGGACGGGGGCGTCTGCGGAGGGCCTGGATTTGGGGACGCGGAGGGAGCCACACGGGGAATGGGCCACTTCCCGTCCGCGGTCGTTTTAAGTCCTGCTACCTCCCGATGGATCGGCTGTCTGGGCCCTGCCGCCTGGGAAGGTGCCCCGGCGCTGGCCGTCTGTGCAGAGAGGCCGCAGCCCCAGCATGAACTTCCCTCCCGTGTCGGGGGCCGGTGCAGCGGGCGGAGTCTCCCTGTAACGTCTCCCCCACGTCCCCGGCCCCCCCACCCCCGCCAAGAAGGCTGGCTGTTCTCCGACTCACGGCTGGACGCACGTGTCACGGTGTCTGCCTCTCCCAGGTGTGTCCGGGGCGACCGGGCCGGCCCTGAGGGAGACCTCCTGGATCAACCGCAGCCTGGCAGCCCTCGCAGACGTCCTGGGTGCCTTGTCGGAGCACCGCAGCCACGTGCCCTACCGAAACAGCAAGCTCACCCACCTCCTCCAGGACTCCATCGGTAATCACGCCCTCCCGTCCGCGACCCCAGAGTAGAGGAGGCCGCGTGCGCATGCACCTCCTGCCCTGCATGTCCTGGAAGCCACCAGTCCCCCTCCCGTGGGGAAGTTCTCAGCCAGGTCCCTGCAACTGTCCCCTTTTGTCCCCGGATCTGGCACTGCTGTCACAAAGAGCTTGTTTGGTGGGTGCGTGGCCTCTCCAGTCGTGGGGCGAGTTCCTCCGCGGTGGCTCCCAAGATGTCTCTCCTCACAGCGCAGCGGCTGAGGAACGGCTGCTCCTTGCGTCTCCGCGCTGCGGGATGGCGCACAGCGGCCGGGCCCTGGGGCCTGGGCGCACTTGCTGTTGCCGTGTTCTCTGGGTCTCTTGGGTGCAGGTGCTGGAAGCGCAGACTGAGTCAGATCGAGCATGGACAGCCGTGTGGGGTGAACCGTCCTGCCTTGGCGACAGCAGGGTTCGGGGTTTTAGGTGCCCAATAGGTGCCGCCCACAAACACTCTGACAATTGGCAGGGAGGAGGAGGACAGACAGGAAAGATCATCACTACGTAAAGCAGCCTCGACCATGCCAGGGGGTTTCCTGACACTGGGCGTCCTCACCAGCCTGTCCCGAGGCAGCCCCGGGCCCTGCAGCCCCGCCAGGACAAGCCAGCACCGACAGACGCGGCCGGAGGCAGGGGCGGGGAAAGCAGCCCCCAGAGTACGCGGCTCCCTCGGAAGTGACAGAGGGCGGAATGTTCTAGGCTCTTCCTCTGACTCTCACTGCAAATTGGCATCTCCAGATGGTAAATAATGGAGCTGCTCGCAGCTGCACATCTTAGCGATTCTGCTTCTGAGAGAAAGAGAGGCCACCACATTCTTCTGATACAAACTCACAGCCGGGGGAGAGGCAAGGCCGGGCCTGGGGCAGAGCCCACTGTGGGCCCGGGAAAGGCGCCGTGGGTCTGACAGGCCCCGGGGACACCAGGCCTCCTGTGGCGCTGTCACCTCTGCCTTCCAGGATTCCGCTTTTCCTTTTCTCTCCTCCCTGCCCTCCGCGCCTCTCCGTTTCCTCTCCGCTGACTTGGTTTCCACCTGCCCTGCCTAACCCCCAGTTGGTCTCTAAGCTCCGAAGGGGGCAGAATTCCACTGGGAAGAGAAGCCCCTCCCGCCCCCGCCCGTCTCACGCCCCCGAACCCTGGACGGCGGGGCCTGGAAGGGCCGGGTACCTGGTCCACCGCCCAAGCCGGCCAGCCCCAGCCCACGCCCCGCGGGCACCATGCCGCTCTCAGCCCCGGCTGGGCGGCTCCGCCTGCAGCTTTCAGCACTGGGCGTTCTTTCCCCCTCGCACACTGTCACTTTTTTTTTACAGGAGGTGACGCAAAGTTCCTGGTGATCCTGTGCATTTCTCCCAGCCAGAAGCACGTGGCGCAGACAATTCAGGGCCTGGGGTTCGGGACCCGCGCGCGGCAGGTCCAGCGCGGCCAAGCCAGAAGGCGGCCCGGCTCCCGCACGGGGGAGGTGTGCACGGGTCAGACGGGCTAATGAGCCTCCCTCCCGTAAAACCTGTGTTTACTCATTGCTTTGTGATGCCTGCGCCCTTAGCAATAAACGGGCTTCGCAGGCCCTGACAGACCTGGTTGTATCCGAGGGAACCGTAAGCAGCACTGCCGGGAGATCCCAGGCGCAGCCCACGCGAGGCTGTCAGAGCCAGCAGGCTTCTCAGACCGCCTTCCACGGGCGCCCGACGCCACAGGTGCGGGCAGGCAGCGCCCACAGGTGTGCGGGGCCGCGGCTGTCTGCCCAGGCAGGAGGGGATGTCCATGGGCCAGGCTTGGCGCCTGTCATCTCTACCACGATGTGGGGACCCAGCATTTCCCAGCGCGGGTTCCGGGACCAGACAGACTTGGGCTCTCACGGGGTCTCTGCCAGCTCCAGCTCTGTGCGCCAGACGCCCGCTCAGCCTCCCAAGCCCAGCTTCCTCGCCTGCAAAGCGAGGGCGAGGCCAGAGGGCCAGCCACATGGCGCCTGCGAGCCTTCAGGAGAGCATGGTGGAGCGCGGTGCCTGGCGCTGCTGGGCGGCTGGGCCTTAGATCCGGCGGCCAGATGGGGGCCTGAGCCCACGGCCCCCCTCGGGACTCACGGGGGTGCGAGGAGAAGGCTGGCTGCCACCGTGCCTCCCCTGGGCCCGAGCTGGTCACAGGGAAGGGGGTGCAGAGGGCTTGGGGTGCACGGGTCCAGACCAACAAAGACACGCATCTTCTTGCGCAGTCAGCCTTGGCTCTGAAGTTGGGGCACAGAGCAGGTTCCGGAGAAGCCCGGGCAGGTGGCTCTTGTAGCGCAGAGTTAAAATGCCAGGAAACATTTTCTCATTTCACCTTCTCTTACGTGAGACTGAGATGAAGTGGATTTTCTAGTAATTAGCCCAAACCGAGCACCCCTATGCCCTGCGCTGGCTCGGAGGGAGGTGTGAGCTGCAGGGACGGCCTTCTGTGGTCGTGCTCCTGCTGGGAGCTGGGGGTGCAGCCAGGTGGGTTCTACCCAGAGCTCAGGGCACCAACTGGCCGTCCGCATCCCCTTCTCAGAACCAACCCTCGGCCCCCCCTAGGGTGGGGCTGGGCCGGGGCTGCGGGGGTCCAGCTCTTCCCCAATGTGGTCAGGAGGTTGGGCTCACGTGTGACATCGAGCAAATAAATGATGCCTGGCGCATCACTCAGGAACCTGCCCCTGCAGGCGAGAGTCCAGCCCGCGCAGCCCACGCCCCGAGTGCGACGCCTGCAGACATGGGGGCTCGGACGTCGGGGACAGCCTGTGCCAGCTGCAGCCCATGACACGGCCTGAGCCCCTCCGTTCTGGCACGTGGCAGCGTGGCCAGCCCTCGTCCCGGGCCCTCGTCCCTCTCGCCCCCCAGTCCCTCACTTTCGGGAGGGAAGCTTGCGTCTGGTTCCCACCCTGGTCCGATCAGCCACGTCCAGACCTCGTGGGTCTCCGGGCACAAGCCTGGCTGCCAAAACCAGCCCCGCCGCCAGGGCATGCGCACCGGGCGTTCCCCTCGAGGTCGGCCACCGCCCACGATTTTGGTGGCCTAGAGCAGAGGTGCAGATGCAGTGCCGCTGAGAGGGGACGGGAGGGAAAGGCCAGGAAACACGCGGAGAGAGAAGAGCAAACGACTGTGTCGGTGGCCAGAGCTCAGAGCCGTCCTGTCCATCCGCAGCGGGCCCTGTCTAGTGCCTGTCTCATGTTCACCAGCTCGTTAGTCCCCTTGGGGCCTGTCAGTGTGTTTGGTTCCAAACCCATCCGACAGACCAGGAAACTGAGGCTGAGAGAAGAGTTTGCTTGACAAACTGGAAAGCCTGTGGCTGGGGCAGAGTGGAGTCCGCCCCTCGGTGGGCGCGGGCGACTGTCATAGAACGACTTTTGGACGTCGTTCCGGCGGCCACAGCTGCGCCTCCAGAGCCCCCGTCAGCTTCCCAGGGTCACACCGTGACCAGACATCCAGCCGCATGCACAGAGAGCAGCGTGAGGGTCTGGGTTTCAGGCTGGGACGCTCAGAGCTCTCCACCCGGCACGTGGGAGGAGCCTCGAACCTGCGCGCCCTCCCCGGGGCCTCTGACCGAGTCGCGACTTGGGGAGGCTCAGGAGGCCGCGAGGAGAGACCAGAGCGCGGGGACAGACGCTTGGGTGCTGAGCCTGGAGCGTCTGCAGGACACACTTGGCAGCCCAGAGCCAGAGCCTGGCTCCCCGTGTCAGTGGGAGGGCAGAGGCCACTGGTCTGGGGCGTTTCCCACGATCTGTCGGGAGAAACACATCAGGGCCCCAGCGTGCTGAGAGCAGCGGCGGGAAGGAGGCTGGAGCCCAGTGAGGAGCCCGGCCCGGCTTGGAGGCAGGAAGGCCTCCCTGGGAGATGGCCTCCGCACGGGGCCTGCAGGGCACAGGGTGACAACGGGGACGGTGACGAGTGGCTGCCATCTGCGCACTGCACTGAGATCGGGGCTTGGTGCCGCTCATGCCAGACCCACGTGCGAGGGGCGCCCTGTCGTCACCCCGGAGGGCTGGCATGCCCGGAGCCAGGTTCGGTGGAGACGCCCTGAACCACAGAACGACACACCCGGAGGAGGTGGGACCTCGCACAGCGTAGCCCTGGGGACAGTCATCCCGGACAGTCACCCGGGACCTGCGGCCAAGACTCGGGGTGGCAGCAGCAGGGCCCTGCCAGGGTGTGCCGGGCGGAGGTGCAGGCCGAGCAGGGCGGAGGGCGCCAGGGGGGCGGCTGGGGCTCTGTCAGCACATTGTTGTGGCCGAGGGCCCGGCCTCGACTGACCTTGTCACCCAGCCTCTGGCTTGGCTTTGTTGGCAGAAGCGGGAAACACTTCATTTGTGGAGAAAGAGGAAGCCGAATCTTGGCCTCCTGGGGGTGTTGCAGGGGGAGGCCAGGAGCTGTCTGCTCGGCGTGGGTCCCGCTGGCTTGACGCCCCCCCTCCTCCAGGGACGTGTCACATCTGTGCCCCAGAGGTTCGGGGGGGTCTGCATGGGAGGCCAGTGACCCTCAGTGAGTGAAGACTGCAGGGGGCAGGGGCCAGGCCTGGGCGGGTGGGGGGCGGCGGCTCCATCCCGCCCCCGACTCTGGGGAGAAGGAGCAGGGCTGGCAGACCCAGCGGGCGGCCGCACCCGACACTCCCCACCCGCCTTTTGTTCGCTCGGTCAGCACCGCTGTGGGACGCCCT